ACTCATTATTAGCATTTACAATTTTTTGTAAAACAGTTACGTAATAAACTATAGATTTTTATTTTGAAACTATCTGATGTGGAATTTCACCAGGAAAATATGACAAATAATGTATTATTAATATAATCTTGCGAAATTTAACATATTTATTTTATTTTTATATATTTTTAATCGACGGAACCAAAAATTTATTACTCTGAGTCGTAAAATAAAGGTTTATGGCTTAATCTAAGATGGCGACTTTCGTCTAATTAATTCAAATTTTTGATAAGTTTAAGGTGTTTAAGACCTAATTATTGGTTAGGTTAACGTCCAGTAGCGTAACCAGAAGGGGCCCTGGGGCCCTGTTACGCTACTGTACTTAATTATTATAGATAAGGGGCCTGGTGGACCTTATCTATAATAATTAAGCACAGACACGGCAAATACACTTATACACGTGTCATATATGCTAACTAAGACTATCCATCCACAACGCCAGTAATTACAAGTACAGGGATAAATGTAGGTTTGCACGTTCTAATTCGAGATCCCCCTTCTAATATCGCTTGTGGTTATCGCATGCGACTCGTGTACGTCGCGATCGTTAGTAAATCGCGTTGCGTAACTCATTTTCACGTGTTCGAGTCTTTCAGGTGTTCTGTTGTAAACTAAAATTATCACATTAAATACGTTTAAAAATCTCTGCTTATTTTAAATATTTTCAAGCCATTTAGCAGCGTAAATTCCTTAAAATTTTATCTAAATTTCTTAATATTTATTTTACAAAAATCCATCAACGACTTGCGTAACTTTCCCGGTAAGAATTAAAATTGTGTGTGGTGCCATCTTTCATGAGATTTTATTACAATATTTTTATTTTATTGATTATTATAAATTGGGAGGGAAAAAGCTTAATTTGGAGGTAGAAACGCTAATAACCAGTAAAATCTTCATTAACTGTAAGTCCGACTCCACTCGAGATACGACACACGATCCCCCTCTATCTTTCCATCTGATCGACCTTTACCCACCAAAATTTAACAGCATCAAGACCCCTAATACACAAACCTCTCCACCAAATTTCAGAAATTTTAGGCAAAAGGCACGGGAGTTATTAAGCTTCAAAGTGGATGAACCCCTATACACATAACTTAACATCCAGTTGCGCGTTACATCTTCACGGGACCCGGGCAAATTTAAATTGTACGTGGCAACCATTGTACTGTACATGGGGCTCCCTAGCCCCACGTTTAACGTTGGCTTCTGACATTTCTCTTTAGGGGAATTTTTGGGGAGAAATAATATGTTATGAACGATTGGTTTGGAGTCCTCCATTGATGTGTGCCCCAGGCAATCGGCCTTTTTGGTCATAGGATAACGCGCCACTGTTAACAACCATACGTATTTTCCTCTGTTACGTGTAAAAACGTAGAAAGTAATAAATAATATATATTTTTTCACATTTCGAGTATATTTGTGGTTTCAGTTCTGCGTATTTTCGGGATGCAGAACTGAAATCTAATGCCTTTTTGTCGATGACAAATTTGGATTTATTATTTAAATTATATTATTATAAAAGTATTCGTTAATAAATATTTATAATACTTTAAATACAACATTTAATTTTAAATATTTATTATCTACAGTTCAAAATGTTATATTTATGTTGTATAATTTGATAGATGATAAAAGTAATTGCTTCACTACCCCCAGACACTACGTAATGCCTCTTTACATTTACACGCTGTATTCTTCTAGCACCATCTGGTTAATATATTTAACACTAGAATATTTTAAAGAATGAATATTCTAATCGATTTATATTTATTTTTATTTTTAATTTTAACGAAATAATCACATTTTTACAGTCTCTTCCCACGTTAAATATCAAAAAAGTGGCTTTTAGTCGCACGAAAACGCTCGTAAATTGTGTAAAATACACGTAAACACAAAAGGACTATAAAATATAAAGCCTAAATAAAGTGGCGCGTTATAGCTTCATGGGGCCCAGGAAAATTTGAATTAGGGGTCCCCGCGTACAGTGTTGACTTCAAGCAGTTCTCTTCGAAGGATTTGGTGCCCCAAGCAATTTCCCTCTTTGCTCATAGGTTAACGCGTCACCTGACTAAATACCATTGTTTATTCATGTGTATTTGAATTTATAAATATAAAAATTTAAACTAAATACACGAAATATAGTATTGTAATTACGATATTGCTCACACGTGATAACTTATTTTAACTGTTTAGAAATATCTTAATCAAGTATGATTGTGGCCTCAAGGCCGTTTTGGCACGTGCTCCAGACACAGAGAACTACCAGTGTTTATGTAGAAAAACTTGATGCACATCTATTTTAATTTATTTTATTGATTTTATTCACTTCTTTTTATGACTTTCGTTGAAGGGTGATGCCCACTTTGGTATCATTGACTTGGGCCCATCTCGCCTTCTTTCAGCCTTTACCGTATTCTGCGTAAGATAAATTACTTCATATCTCCTTGATAATCTTTACAAGTGCTAAGTAAAGTTATAAACAGATATTTTTAACTTTTTATCTGTATTTTTATCGCTTTTACTTCCCGGTTCTGTTACATAATACAGAGGAAAAGTATGGCGATCGATCAAAAAATGATCCCCTCCAAGATTTTTACACTCGGAAGTCCTTGAAACGTCGAGAAATGCAAAAGATTGGGGTTCTGTATATATGAATGTTAGTGTATGTGTGTATAGTATGTGTGGGGGGCACAATTTTGTTTACCCTTTTTGAAGCTTGATAACTCCTGTGCTTTTTGTCAAAAGTTTCCGAAATTTCGCAGGGAGGCTTGTGTAATGAGGAGATTCATGCCATTAAATTTTGGTGGTTAAAGGTCGAAGGGATAGGGAGATAAACAGGGCCGTGTCATATCTCGAGTAGAGTCTGATTTAATGACTCATTATTAGCATTTACAATTTTTTGTAAAACCCATCTCTACCCTCTCAAAATTAATTTTCTTTGCCATTTTATAATAATTAAAAATATTAAATTTTTAAAATAAAATATTGTAACAGATGGCGCTGTCGAACGTCGCCGGAAAAGTTAAGCAACTCGTTGTTGGATTTTCATAGAGGATAGTGCGAGTAGCATAACTAGAACCAATACTGAAAAGGGCCCAAGTTAGAACGTGCGAGCGTGCATTCGCCTCGTACCATTGTGCATGTGTGCCACTAGCCCTGACAATAGTCTTGCAAATCTTTTCCCTATACTTATTTGATGGGGCCCAGTGACGCCCACATATTGGGGCACGTGCTCCCTCTTTTCGTCTATATTGCCCTTCTCCTTATCTCTAAAGGAGTCCCAAATTCAACAACAAACAACAGAAAATTCATGACTTCTAGCCTATTCAGTAAATATAAAACGATAATTGTCCGTTGTTCCACCCAGCTTTATTGCACGTTGACCAAAACTTTGATCTTGAAAACAGGGAATGTTCCTTTCTTTCAAGGCCAAGTTAGACTCAATTGCAACCAGTGCCATATTGCAAGAGTGCTGATCCGACGTTGAATCCTACTTTGAAGCTTCTTGCATAATGTATGGTGCCTTTCTTATAGTCTGCGGGCGTTACCGAGTAGCTAGGACTGTTACCCTGTTTACGCTATCGAGTAGGGCCCAGTTCCGTAACAGAGCCGAGCTTGGCCTCGTTTATCTCTCTCGCCTTACTACACACAAAACAATTCGTATCTTCTGATAAACTCCGAATGGTTTTAAATCAATGGTCTTTTAAATTAATTTTTCATCGTTATGTTGGAATCAACGATTGCAATGTTTTGTAGATGTTCTGTTGTGTGTGTAATCTTTGTGCACTCTCTGTTCCTTTGTTACACAACCGGTTACGTTAATCCAACTGCCTTTTTACTAATCTCTCCGACAAACATCTAGTCTAACACGTTATACAAGAAATTGAAGGTTACGAAACATATTCTTGAACATTTTTCGTTAAATAATTGCTCAAGTGCGTGTTTAAAGAAATTTGTCAGGTCATTTTTCAGGGTTATAAATCTTCCTTTATGTGTAATAATATTGACAGGAAAGAGTTTCCTTACATTAATACCACTAAAAATTAGTTAAAGTCACCAGAATACTGTGGTAATCCAGCTTACAGTAGTGGATCCAAATATGGAGGTTCCTCAATATTATGGTTACGTGATCTTCATTGTTTTGGCTTCGTTTCTAGTAAATCTTTGGCTTGCTGAAAGAGTTTCAATTGCTCGATTTAGATATAACATTCAGGTAGACTCGTTAATTCTTATGAATTATTTATATGTATTATTTTACATAATGTAATTGGTAGAATGCTCATATTTCATATTTTTATTGTGATTTTTCTATGATACAATCTATAAATTAAATACATTAGAGAGCAAACAGGTTTCTTGAATTAAAATTCCTAAATACAGCAATCAACAAATATCCTAATATAGGCCTATAAGTGTATGGACGACATTTGAGGGCATATAGAATGGAGTATTTAAGGTGTTGAAAAGTGTTAAAGATGTATAAAATAAGGTGTTCGGAGATAGGAATGAAGTATTTAGGGACATGAAAGTATACTCATGTTCATAAAATAAGCATAATTGCCCAATTCATAGATAGGAGCTCAAGTACAGTTCACAGTATGGTTCTCATCGGATTAGAATCTGGAGAAAGTGAGAGGGATCCAAATCCGAGAACATCGTGTAAAGAGAATTTGGAATAGCATGGTATAGGGGCGTCATTATGGTCTCACCGAGCTTCGTGCTTTTATAAGGTGTGCTATTACTGAAAGAAGGTAAAAAGGAGGCTTTTGAAACCCCGCATGAGTGTTGAGGATGCGGATCTCATTTTCATTCTTATCTAATCTCATACTCTTCGTTTTCTTTGACGATTGCAGCCATATTTACATAGGGCTGCATTTAGTGGCGGATTATCACACGGGCTCAAAAAGCGCGCGCTTGGAGCTTCCGATTGACAAGGCCTTCGAAAGTTAGCAGCTTCAAAAAGACATACAGTATATTCTGTGAACCTAAGGCAAAGATACTGTACTATCTTCATCTAGACATTTAGAGATTTATTTTTAAGGAAACGATTGACTGATCAGTATTTTTTTTTTTATTAAGTAATAAAGTTATTTGATGTCATTACTTAGTAGGGGCCTCAAAGCTAGGTTGCACTAGAGACCCTCCGAGAGCTTGATCAGCCGCAGGCTTCATTGAGGTTGCTGACTACGCGAGGAATTAGGATCGAATATGGACGAGTCGACAAAACCCCAAGAATATTTCGGGTGTGGTCCGTCCGAATATATCGGGTCGCACTCTCGCACCTCCCGGCCGCCCCAATAACAGATTGGCTAAAAAAAAGCCCTCTTTATGCCCATAACGCGGAAAGATCTCTCTCCTCTTGGTAGCTCGTCTGTGTGTTGCATTGCATTATACCATCACGAGTGTACTCAACAATGACTTTTTTGACAGTAAATATATTCTTCGCATGAAACATCAGCAAGATCTAATCCGAATCTCAGAGCACGCATAGGAGGCTTTAATGTGACGAGTCTCCACCAATAACACTCCGAGGAGCTTTAAGAGTGAACTTTGCTCTTGAAGATTCTTTACTTTTTAATTACTTCGCTGCATAAAGCATACAACAGTGGCGCATTAGGACTTCATGAGGCTCAGGCCCATGAAGTCCTAATTAGAGGGCCCACTTAGTGTTGAATTCAGACATTTTTCTTCGGGGAATTTTTCGTTAAATATATAATATTTCCTTATAAAAGATTGGTTTGGGCTACAGACAATTGTCTTTTTTGCCCATAGGATAACATTAAAGAATATAGGGGGAAAAAATTAACATTTCATTCTTATTTATTTTACAGTATCCTATGATGTACAGCGAAACAAATAATATATTTAACTGTATGCAGCGATCTCACTTAAATTTGTAAGTTATATTTTATTATAATTTCCATAATAACGCAACGTATGGTGATTGAAGTATATTTGCAGTGTGGAAAATTATCCTTCCTTCCTATCCCTACTCCTATTAGCCGGATTATCGGATCCCGTAAGTAATTTATAATATAAATATAATTTATGATCATAAAGGTATTTAAAAATGTGAATTTATATAAACTTATATAATTAGATTGCAAGTGCAAAGTATGGAGCAATATGGCTTTTAGGAAGAGTGGTTTATGCAATTGGTTATTCAACTGGAAGTAAGTTTTAGTAAAAAAAAAGAAGGCATTTTTAGAAGTATAATATGGAACGTTTGGCTAATTATAATATGAATATTATTATTAAATGTTTTCAGAACCGTGGAAGAGACTTTTTGGCTCCTTTCAATATTTAGGACTGGCAGGTTTGATATATCACACTTACCTAATTGGAAACGAACTTCTGTAAAGGAGAAATTTCTAATCGCTCGTACTTAATTTTTTCGATTTTTTCACGTTTAAACTTTAATACGATTATCAAAATATTGTATGTATATTGTGAATTAATTAAGCTGACCCCATTTTCTTATCTTCCAATCAAGTTTTAAGTAGGTTAAGTTTGTTATATATCGATTCCTCACAGTTTTATATCATGGTTATAACAAGGTAAAACTTGTATATCACTAGTATCTAACGTGGCTTACTCGTTAAATTCAACATTTAATCGGGATAAAACTGGATATTAACCTAATAAATTTGAAGGTAATTAAAGAAAATGTTCAAGAGCTCAGAAATATCTTGTTTTTTTTAATAATAAATTAAATAAATATTTTAAAAAATTTATTAAAAATAAACATTGATAAAATAGAAAGAATTAAGTGCAAGAAAATTAAGGACTAGGTGGAAGTATAGATATTTAAAGGAAAAATGATAGAAGAAATCGTAGGAATCAAGTGTAAAAATTAAGAACTAAATGGAAGGAATTAATGGAAAATATCAAGAAAATTGAAGGTATTGGATTCATAAACTAAGGAGTAAATGGAAAGAATTAAAGGAATCGAGTAATTAAACGAAGAACAAATTGAAGAAATTACATTGAAAAATTACAGAATAAATCAAAGAACAAGTGGAAGAAATTAAATAAGAAAAATTAGTTAAATCTATAATATAGAAAATAAAATTAATTTAGAACGAATATATAATCGAGGACATTGAAAATTCCCTTCTGTTTTTTTCTTTACTTTATCAATTCTTATCGGAAGTTGTATATTAAAATATTAAAAAACAAAATCCAAAAAAATTACGAAATTTCCAATTTTTCCCGATAATTACCATTTTCAGCTTCCTGTTATCATAAATTTCGAATAAATTATTTTAAAAATTAACTTTTCCTTTAAATCTTATAAACAAAATGGAAGTTTCCTCCTTAGTTTGACACTTGATATTTTTTTGCTTGTAAAAGTCTGAGTTTTATATTTAAAAAAAACCGTTTTTGTTTAAAAAAAATGTAACTTTTTACATTAATTTATGCAATAAACTAATAAAATATCAATAAAAAAGCTATTATTTTATTCAAATTTTATTACTAAAATATGAGATTTTTTTAAACCTTCAGCTTATTTATTAATAAAACTTNTTTGTGATTTTCTTTTTGAAACCGTGTCCTGTTTTATATTTGTGGCGTAATAAACACTAGTAATGTGTTTTATTCTAAAGACACATGGCAAATTTTCCATCAAACTCCTTTATTAGTTGAATTAGTCAACTAATAAAGGAGTTTGATGGAAAATTTGCCATGTGTCTTTAGAATAAAACACATTACTAGTGTTTATTACGCCACAAATATAAAACAGGACACGGTTTCAAAAAGAAAATAACAGCAATTGTAAATTTTAAACATTAATTACACATGATAGCTTTAACAAAGTTAGTTTATAAACTTGACCTTTATCATTTTCAATTTTTCATTGTTACAACATTAAAAAATTGAAAATGATAAAAGTCATTTATTTATTTTTCTGAAGATAAGTACGAAAGTGTAGAATGCATTGAGTAAATTAAAAATCTTTAGTGTTTGTTTTACCAGTAAAATCAGTTTTAAAGCTTACTTTATGTTTGTAGTAAGTTATTAAACAGCTATGGATTATGTTCTCTCTTACCATTCCTCCCATCATCTAAATGTATGATGATTGGCATATGCAAAGAGATGCTTACAATGCTTAGTAAGCATCCCTTTTGCATATGCCAAGCAATCAGTTTTGTTAAAATAAAATAAATATAGTAATACACGTCAATTAGATAACTGATGTAATTTTAAGATAATTGAGTAGTATTATTCATAAATGATAGAGTACACACCTTGGTATTCCCAAATTGGCCTCAAACAGCATCCATATTTTCAAAATCCTGAATAAGCCACTTGTAAATGAGATTTTTGTCTACTTTATCTTGACTTTTTCTTGATATTTGCTCTGGAAACAACATTCTTCTGTAATTTTCTCCACCATTTTATTCTCTTATTTTAATTTCACAGATTTGATAGTAATTTCTATTCTAGTTGAAAGTGTTAATCTTGCTTAACTTTTGCCAAGGTTGTAGAGTGTCAGTCTACACTGGGAACAGGATTAAATCTGAATGCTCACAGTATGAAAACTGAAAAAAATCTAATAAGTATACCTTTTATATACAATTACAACTATTAATAAATATATTTTTATTAATAGCTGTAATTCTACATTAACTTGGTAACTTTTCCTCAATTGAAATACAATAAATATTATGTTTAATATTATTTTATATACAGTTTATCTTTGTAATAATAGTTGTTCATAAATCAAGAATAGAATATTATAAAATGTATATTGATTTACAGTATATGCATATATATTTTATTAAAGTAATGTTTTCAAAGCATAATGTTTTATTAGTCATGACTTTGAATCTACAGCAATATTAGTCAGGTGATAGGAGACAGCATTTGACATATCCAAGTCAAATCAAGATTTTATTCTGGAGATGAATCCAAATCTAGATAGGATTAGCTTGATGAGATAAAGCAATGCAATATGTGCATGATCTGCCAAGGGGAATGCCTCCTGTAAGAACTTTCATGAAGCAAACCTGGAACATACCACATAGCAATTCTGTTGGTAAGGCACAAACCTACGACCAACTAGTGATTTCATCTACTCAGCCAAATCCCCTAGATTAGAAGGTGTTGGCTTTACTACTATTCTATCCAGCAATTAGCTGTTTTCACAATAGATAGTGCATCAGTGGTCAAATAGATAAAACCACTAAACACTGGTAATTGGTTGCAGATTTGAACCTTATCAATGGACTGGTCACATGGAGCTCTAAACACGGCTGGATGGTTGAGCAGTTAGAGTGGCGGTACACCACTCTGGAGAACCCAGCATTGAATTTTGATGGGTTGAAAAACTCCAGGAATTTTTTACAGGTGGTTTATCCAGATACATCCAAATATGTTGAGCCCCTTTCCCACCACTAGTCACTCCATTCTGGGCCTGGCCAAAGCCATAATAGGTTTGCTAAAAAGCCCTCTTAGCATCCATACGGTGGTAAGGGTTTAAAAAAACAGATAAGACTTGACTTTCAATAAATTGACACAGTAATAATTTGACTTAAAATTGTGGCAATGTATATACAGTAGAGCATCAATTATCCGAAACAATTCTGGATTGGGATTGTTTGGATAACTGATCATTTATGAAAAAATATATTAAACACAAAACTGTACTGTATATATTTTGTATCATACAGCTTACAAATACATATCTAATATATACATATATATAAAGTAGTACATTAAAGTAAGCCTACAGTTTAGGTTGGCAGGGAGAGAAAGAGTGCTGCAATGCCACAGCACTAGTGGAAATTTGAATTTGCTGACTGGAATGCTTTCAGTTAACCAATGTTTCAGTTGATTGGTATTCGGATAAGCGATACTCTACTGTACTTACATTTTTACCTAAAGAATATTAAAAATATTTAAGTAAAATGTTCTAACAGTATCATTTTTACTTTTCAGTTTAACAAACGGACAGAAAAAAATTGAAAATGGTGAAAATAGAAGTTCCTCGAGAATATGGCTACATTATTCTCATAGTTATACTCTCTTATTGCGTCAACATGTGGTTATCGTTTAGAGTCGGTAAGGCTCGCAAAAAGTATGGCATTTTTGTAAGTATTTGTTCAAAAGTTAAGCTATTTATAACTTTTAAAATGTATAAACAGTACTTAATGTAAATAAATCTAATTTACTTTTTATTATGTAATATATTTTATAGTATCCCAAAATGTATGGTGATTCTGTGGTATTTAACTGCATACAAAGATCACACCAAAATTAGTAAGTACTGATGCATAGCATGTTTTTATGATAAATAACTTTGTGTTATTTCAGACTACAGTGGTTAGTTTATCCTTGTTAAGAATAAATTAGCCACTGTAGTTAATCTGCTGAATCAATCAATGCCCTTTAACTAGTGTTGCCACCTTTTCAAAATCGCTGACCCGGATGGCAGGTGAGGTTTGTTTGAACAGAAGTTCCTGATGCATGCGCAATGTCATTATGCAATGCGAAGAATAACGTGCAATGCATGGCAGTTCTAAATCAGTTACAGTTAGGGACTAAGGAGACATGGGTGGGAGTAATGTAAGTAACTAAATTAAGAAAAAACAACCACAGATGACTTAGCTCTATTGGATATTGGAGACGTGTATGAATACGAATCGTACAAGCNTTATTAAATATTGCTGGATTAATAAGGTGTGTTTTTAGGAATACAAGTAAAAAAGTTAATTGAAAAAAGGATGATCCAAAAAGATAATTGAAAAAACCACATGTAATAAACTGAAATTGTATATGTTACATGAAGATGCTTTCTCCCAACATTCCACTTTGGACATGTGTTCCATAGGTTTGCTACTCCTGCCTTAACTGTACTAATTTATGATAAATTATGGAGGTTTGGATCAGAAGTTTGGTCCTATTTAAATTCTCATAGCAGAAAACTGAAAATTTACAACAGCCATCTAACTGCCAAGAATTTTTTATAAATAAACATTATTCATACTAAAACTTTATCTTAACCATTTATTACCTTAATGTATTTTATAAAATTGTTAAAATAATAATTAAGATATATATTATTCAGCAAATGATATTTTTGACGTCTTGTAATGAAGTCATGCAGGGCTCCCCTGCAGACTTTTTGGAAGGTCCTCCATGCATTTGTTGCATATCCAAGAGCCAATCTCAAGATGATCTTTAACATATTCAGATATATAAATGCAATCTGAAATAATTTTTAGTGGAGTCCATTTATATATATTACTAAATATAATTTTGTTTTACTTTTACTGCTTATTAGCTGATGTACCCAGCCATGTTTATAATTTTTATTATTTCTATCCACAAAAAAACCAACAGGGTTCAAAACTGTGACATTTAGTTTGGGAGAATAATAAAGCATTTTCTTTCTATTTCTTGCTCTGTTTTTGTTTTATATGAATAATATTTAACAGAGAAAGAAGGTTTGGTATTGATGTTTATGAGAATTTTGATCTGCACAAGTTTAGATGTAAAATTCATTTTTGTATATTTTCATTATTAATATCAATTTAGTACAATCAGAATCAGAAGATATAAATGTATTTACTGCTATAGGACTAATAGAAGTCCTACAACAGTATTTATTTCTACAATAGTTTACATCTTCTAAATGATGGGTTATTATAAAGTATTCTCAATTTTTCTAAATTTTCTGTAATTTCTTCTATTCTGTTTTGTTTGCATTCATATGACTGATACACTGTCAAAATCATGTTTTTCAGCAATCATCGATTTTAAAAATCTGTACTTTTTTAATTTTATTGTCCTTTTCTTTTCACAATTTTCTCTTCTGAAAACCACTTAAGTGCTTAGAACTCTTTTTAAATCCTGTCATAAAATAAATAAACATATCAAGTTCTCTGACATCAAAAAGTAAAAATATTCTCAAATAATTATTATTAATACCATTTGTTCTTCTAGAATGCAGAAAACTGTTTTTAACTTTTCAGTAACTCTCTCTTTGTTCCAGCAATAGTTCATTTCAGTTTATTCAATCAAAATAAATGATACAGTATTTCAAATTTGAATTCACAATTCTGAATGCATCCAATTGACAAGCACCTTGCTTTCATTACACTCTAAATGATAAATATCAGTCAAAACCCAGCAGGTTGTGTTTAATGTACTGGCAATACAGATGAGTTATCATTACACTACTCATACACCTTATATAATACAGCCAAATTTATTATAACACTTCAAACGTTTTCGGACATCTTTAATGCCCTTTTTCAAGAACGAACCAACGAAAATCGAATCTTGGCGAATTCATAAAAACGATAAATGCGTTTTGGAACGCTATTTAAACAAACTCTTATTGCGCAGAATCGTGCTGTTTGTTTACCGTTAAAAATAAAGAATACTACCAATAACCACTAATATGATACATCAACCATACATATATGAACCTAACATAAATAAAGACAACAATGCTAAATATAACCATAAAATCACTAATAATAATGCACGTGTAGCCCGATTGCACCTTTCCTATGCATGCTTTTCCAAAATTCGTCTTGCTATTTCTATTATTTCGCTCCGTTATATTAAGCTCGATCTCCATGCTTCCAATATTTTACTTGCTTCTCTAAAGTTAATTGCTTGTCCTTCTTGACTATTTTTACAAATATGCCACGCCTCTGCGTATTTGAGATGCCTTTTGTCGTGAATTTTTTGTACTAACTTTGCCTTATCCCACTCTGCTTTAACTTCTGTAGGGTCTGCTAGGATGTATGTCGCTAGCGCTGTGACTNATTTTATTGGTAATTTAGATATTTAAATATTTTTTGTGTATAGATTTTTAAAATTAATCTGTTGAATAAGTATTCAATTTTTGTTATTTCTTTGATTCTAAGATGCATTTATTATCTTATGCATTTTTGTGTTAAAAACGCTGACAATTGCATTTTACATATGCAGTCATTGAGTAGATTGATTTTAATAAGTAGATAATTAAACATTTTAAATGTCTTAAACCAATATTATGATGCTTCAAAGAAGAATTATTACTGCCTATATGCAGAAGAGCATGGAAATGAAGCCATCAACCATTATGTCTTTTATGATTTTTTAACTTGTTACCCAACAAAGTTTAATATTGTGTCCCTTTATAATTTGATTTTAAAATCACAATGCCTCTTAGAATTGAAGATATATGAATGAATCAAATATATATGAATGGATCAAACAATTACCAAATAGGATTTTTTTTTCAATCAAAAACTAGTGTTCAATTTATTTCAGTTATTCAATCAATCATCTACATACAACCTTGTACAGCAGCAAAAAAGTTTATTAAATTGAAAAAAAAACTAACATTTTAGATCATATTTAATGACCTTCATCGGGTAATGTTTTGAAATTTGAATATTTTAAAATATTAATAGAAATAGAGCAAAAGTATGTAAACTGAAATCTGCTACATTGCTGTGACATGTGCAAAAGCTAAAAGACAAAAATAACAAAAAATTAGTAACCAAAATACTTGTTACATTGTTGTTTAGACCTCAAACCAGGATTTCCAAGCACTTGATATCATGTTTAGGTCTTTGTAGCTGGCAGAGTTTTTTTACACTTTTACTTATAGAATATAAATAAGTGTTTTATGTTGAAAATCAAAGAGAATTTTAATTAGAACTACAGTCGAGTCCACATAAGTCATCATAGGTAAAATTATATACCGTCATTTAAGAGTCAGTTTTTTGTGGTCCCTGCCAACTTACATAAGCATTAATGATAAAAAAAACTCTGGTTTACTTGATGCCATTTAACTCATCACTATCAGATAAATCTACATACTTTTTCTCATTTAGACATATAATAAGTTGACTCCCTCCTGAAAAAATGAGTTCACACCACACAGCCTAATGTCACAGCAGAATCCAATTTTGCATTTTCTCATTTTTCATTCACACATTATTTGCAGTAAGTGTTTCACATTTCTGTTAGAAATGAGTATCCAAAACCTAGTAACACTTACACTGAAAGAAAAATACGACTTTGTATCTGAATTTGAGTGTAATAAACTTTGCAAGCCAAATTTGCAAAATATGAAAACCTTCCAAAAACAACATTGGTGGGAATTCTGAAGAAAAAAGGAGAAATTAAACTTTTCCTTGGGTCTTCGTTGCGGCTATCTCAAACACCAGAAAAATTTGCCATCCAAAGATGTCAATGAATCTCTCGTATGTTGGCTAAAGCAAATTCGTTCATCAAATCTTCCTGTTTTGGGGCCAATACTGAAACAAAAAGCAATGGAAATCGCTGAGGTACTTGGAGTAGAAACCAACTACAGTGCCAGTGATGGATGATCAGAGAGATATATTGCATGTACTGTATTTTCCTAATTGTAGTTTTATGGGGGGTTTCCAACTTCATTTTAGTCATCATATCGGATAACTCGACACACTTCCACTTTCCCTTGGGGTGTCGACTTATGTGGACTCCACTGCACTTGATTACATTTAAAATAAAAAATAAATGGAACAAGTTCATTAATAATAAATTTTTTCTTTAAATCAGAATTTAACATATTAAAGTAAATTATTTATAGTGAACTAGATACCAACTACCTTTGATGTGATTTAAGCAGTTTAAAGATTGTGAAGAATTGTACAATACATACCACAGTATAATAGAGAGAGCAAACTCACTATGTAGTGGAAATCACTAAGCCATTTGTCAACTGTAGCACTCCAGAACTAGGTCATAATATTAAGTTAAATTTTAAGTAAATTAATTTGCCTTTAAATACATGGTGCTTGATTTACTCAAAACACAATGAGTTCTGAAATATCTTAAGGATCAGAGATCCTTAGGATATTTCAGATTCAACTGGATCTTATTTTTAAAAATGGAATGCCTTTTTAAGACATTCCATTTGAAAACATTTATAAATCATCTACTCCACTGCTGGAAAAGTACTTGACTTTTTTTAATTAATTGAAATAAATATGAATTCATTTTTTTAAATAAATGAATTATAGTAAAAAATAATTTATATTAATCAGAAAAAAATTAGAATAAATGAGTTTTAATTAACTGGAAAATTTTTAAAATATAAAAAAAGGAGAAATTTGTGTGTGCGCGCACACCTTATTGTAAAAAAAAAACCTAATGATAATTTTCATTAATGAATTCCAAATATGTTTCTATAAAAATTGAATGCCTTAAAAGAAGGCTAATTGTAAAGGAATATTTTTACATTGCATAAATTGTATTTATTTTATTTTTAATCATTAATTTACCATATTATAACCTAAATACAGTGATTTATTTAATTTATTGAATTATTTAGGTTGTTCTGAAGCTTTATAAAAACAAATTTTAGTATACAATAATAGTTATTGTAATTCTGAAAATAAACCCCATCATAAATATTAACTAATTATCATTTTAGTTCATTTATTACTTGCAAAATAAAATTATTCTTTATAAGAAATTAAGTTGTTATTGAAAAAACTTATTGGCTCAACATATTTATTCAATAAATTGTTCCATTTATTTTTCAATAATTGTAAATGTTATATCAAATTGGCTTGGTTATTTGTGCCATTCAAAAAGTAAATTGAATACTTGGTTTTTGATTTCAGTTGGTTTAATGTTAAAGTAATTTAATATCATGCATATTTTCTATTTTGTTTGTTTTCTTGTTTTCTTTTTCCATTTCCTCTATAGCCGACATCATGAAGGAAAAAGGTGCTCAAATGATAATTGCAATTGATGTGGGAAGTCAAGATGAAACTGATCTTACAAATTATGGTGATACATTGAGTGGTTGGTGGTTATTATGGAAGAGAGTGAACCGCTGGACGTCTCCAATCAAAGTTAGTATTTATTTAATGATTACTGTTTAAAATATTAAAATTTTTAACAGATTAGTAAGATGCAATTCCATTCATTATTCAAACCTTACCGTGAAATTGTGCAAATGAAGCTCTAGTTGGGAAGGTGTTGCTGAAGTAGCAGTCGAGATTTAACATAATTAAATCCCAAAACTTGCAATAAATCAAACAAATATATAACTATTGGGTTTGGATGTTTATATTTGAGTTATTTCAAGTTGCCAGTTACGCTGCTCAAAGGTCCAGATAGCATAACTGACAACGCAAATACACAGTAAGCAGGCATTAAGAGTTCAAGTCCTACTCTCAGCCAATTCTTCTCTTCCAAAATCTTCTAAATTAATAAAAAAGAGATTTAAGAGAATTTTTACTTAAGTATCCTTGAAAACAATTACCATATATGTATTATTACAGTTATAATAAGTTAAATTATATAGACATTGCTCAAATAATTTTAACATAGAAGAAAAAATAGTGATTGATTTGATAAGCACATCTTAAAGGTTGGTAAAGTATAGTGATAAGCATTTTTTTTAGATTATTTAGGAATAACTTTTACAAAAGAGGAACCCCACTGTCTAGGTATAAGACTTGATTTTAAATTTAGAGAAAAAAGTAGAGATAGCAAAGTGACAACTACAGGTTCAAAACAATATAAATTAAATTTTTAGAATATTGATTTTTCATGAAATGTTTTTGAAAATATAATGAGCAATTATTTATTGCGACACTGTCACAATGCTGGACTGCAATTTTTAATTTATTTAATTTAAAATATATGCTCTCCACCTCAAATTAGTAGTACCTTGCCCCTGTACATCATACTTTCCTGCTAGCAATAGTCATGCCTGTCATCTAACTACTTTCAGGGGAAAATTTTTTAAATTGATACAACTTGACTTTTGGTGCCAACCAGAAGTTTGTATATAATTAATTGGGGCTTCCTGCCCCTAAGCTTTTCATATCTGGTCTCAACTTTCATCTAACTCCATTCTCAAGATTAAGAAGGATGGACAGACAGACTGATGAGTGGGAATTCATAGGGATTCTAGCTTCTGATTAGGAAAAGGGGATAAGCTTTAAAAAAAGTACATAACTTTTCATTTATTTTTCAGAACATTTCCAAACAGTTTAAAAAAAAAACTAAAATCCTGAACAGTTTACAACTCTACTAGTTGAGTTTAAACTAGCTTCTAAAATATTGCTAAAAGAAAACTCTGACTTTGAAGGAAAAAAATAGTACAAGATGGAGGACAATTTGGAGAAAGTGAATCTATAATTATCTTATAGAAGATTTTCCAGTTCCTGTACAAAATCTATTGGAAAACCTAGGAATAAAATTTGAAATGTTTTTCTATCAGATGAAATGGAAGAAACAATAAAATTAATTTTAAGTAGTACTTGTTCTAAATTAAGATCTTTAAAATCATATGGAGGTAGCTTAAGGAAATAAGAATTTTCGTTTTTTCACTCTGATTTTATGCAGATGAGTTTTCAAATGCCTTAAATGAAGGCTGAATCAACATTTGGAATCTATGGAAATTGTAGTTTGGAAAAAAACAAATTGTGCAATTAAAAATATCATCAAATAAAAGATCAAATTTAGCTTAATAGAATATCAAATTGATCAATAAAAATCTAATTGAATTGTACAAATTGATAGCAGACCTTTTTCCAGGACATTTGATTTCAGTATGGAATGGTAAACAACTTATGATTTAGGATAAGACAAATATTCTGGTTTTATAAAGAAATGAAAATATAAAGCCAAATGATCAGTTTCATTTGCAGGTGAAACTTGAAGGAAAATTCCAGAGGCAAAGACCAGGTCTAAAGAGCTATTATAACCTGTGGGAAAAATATACTTGTTTTTAAAATTGTAAAAATAGAAAATTTCATTAAAAAACTCAATTTAACAGAATATAACATTGCACAATAGACAGTCACAATAAATGCTCAGATATATGTCCTCCATCAGTCTCAATGCAAGCAGTCACATAAGTCTATGCATCTTTTCAAATCGACTGCTCAGAGCAAGAAGGTTACAACTCAAAATTTTCGATGTTTTAGTTATTGTACTTATGGGAATGCTTGTATCGAGTTCTATCTTATGTATAAAGGTTATATCTCTAAATGGCTTATTATGGCTCTGGGACGTACCTATAACAGTTTTGCAATATGCTAATACACTCTGTTATTGAATTCAAGAGGGTTACATTTTGAGTTGTAACAGTCTCTTTGTAGACTGTATATCGTAATAATTACACTACTCACAAGCCTTATATAATACAGCCAAATTTATTATAACACTTCAAACGTTTTCGGACATCTTTAATGCCCTTTTTCAAGAACGAACCAACGAAAATCGAATATTGGCGAATTCATAAAAACGATAAATGCGTTTTGGAACGCTTTTTAAACAAACTCTTATTGCGCAGAATCGTGCCGTTTGTTTACCGTTAAAAATAAACGCGATAAAGAATACTACCAATAACCACTAATACGATACATCAAACCATACATATATGAACCTAACATAAATAAAGACAACAATGCTAAATATAACCATAAAATCACTAATAATAATGCACGTGTAGCCCGATTGCACCTTTCATATGCATGCTTTTCCAAAATTTGTCTTGCTATTTCTATTATTTCGCTCCGTTATATTAAGCTCGATCTCCATGCTTCCGATATTTTACTTGCTTCTCTAAAGTTAATTGCTTGTCCTTCTTGACTATTTTTACAAATATGCCACGCCTCTGCGTATTTGAGATGCCTTTTGTCGTGAATTTTTTGTA